ATACATCGAAAATGCTCAACCAGCATACCAATTAAATTATTAAGACAGAATCGGCAATGCAACTTCATAGGGCAAAATATGATCATGTCTCTAAACTTTGAAAATAAGCACCATTATAACATCCAAAGCCATATTTTAGGGTTTGAGCTTGAACAAGATTGTTCATTCTATGGCCAATGATGTTAAGTGGGGAATTATTGTGCTTATATCACCATAGTTGGAATCGGTAAATCTGTTGGCACTAATTAATGAACTACTTCATTATAGCAAATCCATGCTTATAACAAATCCATGAAATTACAGCTCTTCATATAATATAATCATACAAAGATTATGTGGGTTTCAAGCAGGAGAAGCAACATAAATATCCCGTTTGGTATGAGATATTAAAAATGAGAGATAAGAATTAGAATTGAGATTTAGAAAATTAAATCTGACTAAAAAATATTTAATATGAAAGACTGCTTGTTATATCAGATTTGATAAATCTATCTATGTGGGAATGGGGAATGCCATGGGAGGAAATGGTATTCTTTAATCCCATCTTCATGAGTTTGTTTAATCCCATGTAATAAGAAATTACTTTTGCTAAACACTTTTTTAATGATTTTTCTCAATTATAATTCCAATTCTTATTATTCATTTTCAATAATTGTGGCTCTATTTTGACGCAATTAAAAAAAGAATTTTTTAGCCATGACTCATTAATAATTGGGTTAAGGTCAGCACTCCAAACTATTTTGTGAGATACACCCAATACGCTAAAGTATTTTGTGGTGTAATTTTGCTTTTAATATGTATTTAAATGGGTGGAATTTCACCCAAAACTAACTGATAAATAAACGTCCCTTACTCCTTTGACAGATAAGCATATCGTTTTGACGCGTTCGATGAAAGTAGAGGGAAAAGCTTGGTGAAGGCCATGAGTCAACGAAGATGGGATTCGTTCATATTACTCGTCAAAACCATATGCTTATCTGTGAAAGGAGTAACGGACATTTATTTCTCAGCTAGTTTTAGATGAAATTGCACCAATTTAAAAACTTTAGGAATGAAATTACATAACAAAATATTTTAAAATGTTAGCTGTACCGTACAAAATAGTTTGGGGTGTTAAGTGTACCTTAACCCTTAATAATAATTCAATTTTCTACTAATATAATTTTTTTGTCATAGTTTGTAAATACACACGTTTAATTTGTTACATCTGGTATTTTTACATACTAATTAAATAAGGAAAATGAGAGAAAAATGATATGTTTGGGCTGATTAAAAATAAAGCAAGCAGTTTAGAGTCACACTAAACCAAAGTAAAAGGAAAAATCGGTTGGGTCAAAAGATGTGAATATAAAAGTTTGGGTCTCAACGCAAAAATAACAGTAAAAGTTGAGCAAAGTATAATTACGAGAAAACCCCTAAATTAGACACAAATTCCGTAAAATAGAAAAGAGAATCATAAGGCATTTTTAAGGCTTGGAGATCTTATTTAAAATTAAAATGCCTCCAAATGAATTGTTTGGTTAAAAATTATAATTTTAGGTGAAATTTTAAAAAATGAAGGAGAAAAATAATTATTCAAATTATTTAAGGGCTTAGAAAATTTGAGGAAATATTATGAAATATTATTTTGGGGATATATAAAATTTATGAAGAAATTTAGTTCACCAAAACTAGATTTAGGAAACAAAGTTTATAAAGAAAACAAATGAATTTAAAAGACTTATTATACGACATGATTGATTTATTATAATTTGACAAAGTTTTCCAACATGCATTGAATCATAAGATAACAGAGTTGGATAAGAGAATACATGAAATATATTATCATTATCAAATGTATAGATACTCAAACATAACAAGATGAACCAGAAAGTTCACTAAATATTATATTCATAAAATATTACAAATTAAAACATCTGCCATACACAATTACCAACCTAAATAAGAATTACTGAATCTCATATTTCATATTCCGATCCATAGTATAAGTAAAATTGACATCGACATGCTTGAAGTATGAAAGACTGATAAATTCCAATACAAGTATTTTGAAAAAATAGAATCAAGAAGGATAACTCTTCCAAAGTTCCCAGGCATGATTCCCCCATTGATTGAGAGTCGCCTTAATACTCATTGAACGTTCATATACGACAAAGAGCCAATGCCAACCCATTAAAGTGGTCAGCCACCCATCTTTGTCTAGCCGCAACATGATCAGAGGCTACAAGAGTTTCTCCTATACTTCATTTTTGAACAATTCAAATGCCATATCACCATATAAACAGTCTACTTTAATGCAATTGTACGTGTACTTTCATATGGTTATAGACCTCTTCAAATTGACTTGAGTTAGAGCCAGGGCCATCAAGTTGAGGTACTCCCACTTTCAATAGATCATTTTTCTCATAACTCAGTACAACGTTACATGGTATTTTAACTGAGTTTTCATCTTCCATATTCTCTGTTAAACATTTGTACTCCAAACTTAATTGGTATTATATATTTTCCTTTCTTTCTAGAAACTCTTCTCCAATTCAAAGCAAAATATATCAGCTCATAGTCAAATGTTGGGTTCAAGTCTGGAGGCAGTTCGTCCTGTAGAACACAAGCAAACTTGTGTATTATAACGTCATAGTTCCCTTTTGTTTATAAGATTAATTCCAAACCCCAATCAAGTTCTACATAAAGGAATGATAACGAGTAATTACAGCCTCTGCGTACCAACTCCCAAATAAGCATCATAAACATACAAAGAGGAAACTAGAAAAGCAAACTCCTCTAATTTCAAGTTATAGTGAATCTCAGACCACAATTCCAAGTCTGGGGAACAAACTTTCAGGAAAACCTGTTGGGGTTTCTTTTCTTTTCTTTTTAAGTTTCAGAAAGACAATTTGCAATATTCTAATCCTCCAGGCAGCTCTTAAGAAAGGTAGGTGATGAAATCCAGAATGCAGATAAAAAAATCAACTCAATTCTCTAGAAGAGCAGGGGAATGAAATTTCCGGTTAGACTAAATGTCAAACATCTCTTCAGGTTTGATTATAACGTGAAGATTGGAAATTATATACGCTATTGGCAGAATGTTATAGGAAGAATGTACACATCTTTTGGAATAAATTGATCAACTAGTTCATATATACAGCTACAATTTAATGAAATAACCACTTTTCAAGATATAACCATATCCAATGATTATATAAGCAATCCCTGTACATCGAAAATGCCCAACCAGCATACCAATTAAATTATTAAGACAAAATCGGCAATGCAACTTCATAGGGCAAAATATGATCATGCCTCTAAACTTTGAAAATAAGCACCATTATAACATCCAAAGCCATATTTTAGGGTTCGAGCTTGAACAAGATTGTTCATTCTATGGCCAATGATGTTAACTAGGGAATTAGTGTGCTTTATATCACCATAGTTGGAATCGGTAAATCTGTTGGCACTAATTAATGAACTACTTCATTATAGCAAATCCATGAAATTACAGCTCTTCATATAATATAATCATACAAAGATTATGTGGGTTTCAAGCAGGGGAAGGAACATAAATATCCCGTTTGGTATGAGACATTAAAAATGAGATATAAGAATTAGAATTGAGATTCAGAAAATTAAATCTAACTAAAAAATATTTAATATGAAAGACTACTTGTTATATCGGATTTGATAAACCTATATATGTGGGAATGGGGAATGCCATGGGAGGAAATAGCATTCTTTAATCCCACTTTCATGAGTTTGTTTAATCCCATGTAATAAGAAATTACTCTTGTTAAATACTATTTTAATGATTTTTTTCAATTATAATTCCAATCCTTATTACTTATTTTCAATACTTTGTACCAAACGAAATCAAAGTTCCTTGTGGCAATGTTCTATTTTTTCACAATTGTGATGGCTTTGATTAGATTCGAAATGTCAGTTTTAATATAAAGTATCTTCCTTCAAATATTCACTAGGAAATAGTTACTTTTGAGGCTTTCCTTAATTTCAGCCATAACTTTTTTGAGCAAAGCCAATACTACTACTTCTTCATAACCAGCTCAGTACAAAATATACGCCCATAGGACCAGAAAAATTTGTGAAGTTGAAATAGGCTCTTGATATGTTAGATAAAATCGGAAATACTCATTTTCTCATACCACTCATTCGATACATAATCGAATGATTGTGAGAGTAACCATCCGTCGTTTTTAGAACAACGCCTCCCCAACCCTACAAGGCCAATCCTTAGCGGCTCAAGCCTTAAAGCGCGCCTTCCTTAAAACAACTTTAGTTACAAAGCTTGGCACACGAACTCACGGGCTTACGGTCTGTGACCGTAAGCATATTAAAAACTTAATTTAAATAATAAATATTAGCAAAATAAATTGTCAAATTAATGTCAGAATTATCAAACTAAACCAACCCAAACCATTATCCTAAATTTTGATAGAAAACTTATCCATTATTGCATAAACATCTCAATATTTTTGCATCATGCTAGATCATGCAATTTATAAAGGATTAAAACAAGTTCCGGCAAATACTATCTAAATAAAAAATGAACAAATATAATTATCAAAATGGTTAAAGCATATTTCAAACGATAAAAAAAATAGAATGCGAGTGGGTTAAAACGGGCAGGTCCTGAATGGGCTTATGCTTAAAAGGATTGGGCCTAAAAACTCATTTAGCCTCAAAACATGCAATTTTTGGAAGCTTAGTATTCAAAAGGCTCTGACTTAAATGGGCTGTCTTGATAAGTTTAGCCCGTTTTCTCATCTCTGTACTTTCCACCTCACAAGTAAGAAGTGGGGGATGACGAAAGACACCCACATAATTGAGAGCAAACAGAACAAAATAAACATGGCATGCATATATGTTATTTATTTGTCTACACACACAACTTTGCGACAATGGCAAAAGAAGCCAACCATCATACACAAAAACATCGTATATGACAGAAATAGACCGCAAATAACCTACGAACGACAGATAGAGATCTCAATTCAAGAGTTAATTTTCTTCAAAGTCTGCTCAACTACCATCTTCATATCATGCCAATCTGCAGGGCTGGGCGTTGCTTTCCCTAACATACAACGTATCATGAGTTGGGAAATCTCTTCTGTACGATTCTCTTTTCTCCTTCTCATCAGAAGTTCTTTCCCTTTTTTAATCCTCTTCTGAATTGTTGCCTCTTTGTTCAAGGCCCTCTCCGAGACAGGTCCGCCTCGGCACCTCTCAATCACTTGCTGGACACCTTCATGGTCCGGCCAAACCTCTGGTTGAGGATCAGAGCGACCACTGTAAATGATTGCCCCAGCCTCAACTCCACAAAGGATGCTAAGTTCACTTATCTTTTTCATGATAATTGCTTCCCTTTTCTTGAATGATGCTTTTCTTTTCAAGTCATCAGTGATGTACTGATGTTTCATCGCTTCCTCTGACATGGTTATGTGCTTCAGGAGACCAGCTTTTGTTGAGCACTTATTCCTTAAGATATGTACTTATATAGAACTCTGAAATTATAGTGAGCCTGTATATTTTAGACTCATTAATGAGTGGTGTCAAAAAAAAAAAAAGAATTTATGAGAGAATCCCTTGTTAACTTTTATTTCAGAAATCTGAAAACTATAGGCAGTATTAGGGATGAAATCTGTGGGCTGGATCAAAGGTGCTAAAGTAACTAAATGTTTGACATTAATGTAAGGATATTTGAAATTTGAAACTTTGACATTCTTTTCTTTTCGGGCTGATGTAATTTTTGGTCTTTTAAATTTGTAAGAATTTTAATTTTAGTTTTTCAAGTTTCAAATCATGAGTTTTGATTTTTTAAGGAATAAAATAGTCCAGGTATTTATTAAATTTTATAACGACTAATATTTTAGATAGAAAGAAACTTGAAGGATTAAAACTCATAGTTTTAAAATTTAAGGAATTTATTTTTACCTTGAATATAAAATCTCAATTTCTCTTATCCCTTTACTTATATTTATATTTTCCCCCATAACTGTCCTTGTAGTTATATTCTTGTATTGTAAAGTTGAATGACCATCATATTCATATGGCTAAAAGGGTAGTGTTTAGGAAATTAACATTTATTTTTTTTTTTAACAAATAATTAACTTAGCTAATTTTTAATATATATAAACTAGTCATCTAGTTGTTACATTTCATATTCAAAGGAGCATGTAAAATTAGTAATACTAGAAAAAAAATTTAGGACTCACTGCAAAAAAAATTAACAAAGAAATATATAACTCATCGTTGAAAAGTCATAACCGTAGCGACCGTGACTGAAAAATTTCAGCGGCAACAAAAAAGATCGCCGCTGAAAGATGCTTTTAACGTGATGTTTATAAGTTTTAGCAGTGACATTTTTGTTGCCGCCAAAAGTGACTTCTAGTGGTGATTTTTTTTGTCACAGCTAAAAGTGATGTTGGAAAAAAATAGCTTCACTGGCATCACATCATCACCACTGGCCGCCACTTCCTTGCCAAACGACACCACATCACCACCTTGCCTCCATGTTTTTGTCCAAATAGTTTCAACTTATATGTGTCTTCTTCAAGATTTAAACTCATGACCACCTCCTTTCGTGTTCAATCTTCTTGCCGTTGAGCAGGATTGAATTTGCTTATTATTATTATAAAATAAAATATATATTATCATATTATACATTCAGCAGCAACGTTGGAAAGTCACCACTAAAAGTCTAACCTCTAAAGACATCCAGCGACGACACTAAATGTTGCCACTGAAGGTCTTACATTCAGTGGCAACTTTTTGTGTCACCGTTGAAAGATACTTTCAATGACAACTTTTAGTGGTTAAAAAAAAAAAGCCGACTTTTAGCAGTAATATTTTTGTCACCGTCAAAAGTCATATTTTTAGTGGTGACTTTCTAGTGTCGATGCTGAAAGTTGGCGACTTTTTTTGTCGCCACTAAAAGCCGTTATCGAAAATCTTTTTCTTTTGTAGTGACTTGAGCACCAACGTCCAAAAAAATCATACCAGTTATTAAATCAATTAAAAATGTTTTTATTGTGGTTAAAATAGGATCAGACTAATCATCATTAAAATACTATACTTTAAGTAAAATATACAAAAATATTGACATATAACTCTCAAAAACTTAAATAAAAAAGATGGTAATCCACAAATAAATTGAACATTAATGTACAAGCCACACATACATAACCTAACAAAACGGAGTTACCAAAAGTACAAATACAACGAATTGCTATTTTTAATTTTTTTAATTTAAAATGACATCAATTTAGATTCAATAAAAGGGAGGACAAAAATACAAAGTTTAATCCTGTTGACTTGTCAAAAACTAGTATTTGGTTACTCCAAAAATTGTTTTTACTCAAGTTAAGACAAAACTTCTTTCACATACTTACTTTATATACTGTAAAATCATTTTTAAAATTATATTTTAGTTTCTATCCAGACAGTACTAAGTATTGACCAAAGAAGCTAGAAGATTACTTTACTAGTTCACTTGTCTGACCAACTAATCTGTGTTGGGTTTTAATTCCATGTTGAGCTCTAATATGGTAAAACATAATTGTTGTTGTGATCGAAATGCTTTATGCTCATTTGGGATCAAAAGAAAGAAATTAAAAACCAAACCAGTCATGAATGTTGAGACAATAATTCAAAATTCAATGCTTGGATTGTGATTCAATCAGGTGTGATCAAATTTACAATTTTAATTATATTATAAAAGTTTATAATAGTAAAGGTAAAATAACAAATATGAAAAATCGATTTCAAATAAACTAACAAAAAAATAAAGTGAGTATTTAAGAAATAAAAATATAATTTTAAAAAAGTTGACAAATATTTTGTACTTTTAAAAATAAGAATGAGATCATTATTTGATATAAAATATATATGATGTTTATACATATTTTATAATTTACAATTTTATAACATAGATATTTCTTTTCATTTTGCCTATTAGTTCATAGCTTTAAAAGACGCAGTTCATGACAATACGCGGTTGTTATTTCTTTTTAATGTTTTTATCCGCATTGACCAATCATATTTTAGGATGATTAAACCTATTATACAAATTTGTGTCCCTCTATGTCTAAATGAAATTTGTGTCCCTTTAATATGCCATCATTCCATCAAAATAAATGATATAGATTTTCAGTAATTGCATTCAATGATTTTTTTTTTTTGCCAATAGGAACAATGAATTTACATGTATGAGCATTTAATATATTTCATTCTACATTTATGACAATTATGAAATTATTCTAGCCCACTAGCTTTAGAGATTTCAAAAAAGCACAACATTCACGCCAACTTCATTAAATCTATTATATTATCTCAAGTTTTTTAATTACACATCATCACGTGTTCTATTTTTAAAGTATTAATATTTAATATCATTTAATTATAAATCTATATAAAACAAAAAGAATATATGTTTATATGTTGATATAATGAATATAAAGAAACCTGACCTAAATTTTTGCCTCTAAATCCTATATCTTGAAAAACAATTAAGGCCTTTTTTTTCAATAGCTTAATAAGGAAACCAGTTTTTATGGAGCAAAATTATTTCTTTAAGATCTGCCATTAATACAAAACGATGCCACAATCTAAACTTGAATCTGAATCTCCCATGGGTAGTCGGACTCATGAATGAGTGGTGTCAGAAAATATATTAGAATTTATGAAGAGATCCTTAGTAATATCATTTATTTGTGCTTTTATTAGGAACATTTAATATATTTGATTTTCCATTTATGACAATAATGAACTGATTCTCTCTGTTTTTTTTTCAAAAAATAATGAGATGCCAAATAAAGTCCCAATTCCTAAGTTTACCTCTAGGTCTTTCCTGTGTCTCATCATAGCTTGGCAAAGTATTATATTTAATTAATATAATATTTTAAAATTTTTCAGAATGCAAACAACACTTTTATGCCCCATCAAAAACTGATCCAAACTTGTATAAAAATAGTCAAATCGTATATCAAAATGAAACTCTCAAATTTCAAAATTTTTAGAGCCAAATCACACTCCTAAAACATGTCTAGATTAGAAAAAACTTACATAAAAAAAAAAGATTAAAAAAACAAAAAAAAAAATCCAGATTCCCCCACTTTCAGTAGTGGGGCACGTACACCAGCCGTTGCTGTGAAGGTGGTCGCTGGTGACACACACTGGTTAGTTGTGCTCCACATGTAAAAAACTAAAAATATACTTTTTAAAATTAAAGTATTAAATCAAAATCTTATACAAAATGAAACGACTAAAATAAATTAAAATAGGAACATGCAACCAAAATTTCATGACAGGCGTAACTTTCTGACTCTAAATGAAAATACAGAATAATTTAATTGAAAATAAAATTCAATTAGATGATTATCCCAAACTTCTTGCCAATTATTTCATAGTACATTCCTAAAGGAACAAGTTTCATTACACATGGGATATTATATAGCTTTTATTTCCCTCAGATTCCAGGAAGAATCTAAGGACAAAAAGTGATTGCATAGTTTGGACTGCTAAAGCAAGTAAAGGTGCTAGTCTTATCATCATAAGCGTAACTATAAGCATCGGGACATTGAGTCTTGAACATTTTAGAGTATTGTGTTGGTGGGCATTTTTCTGGAGTGTTAAACTCTCCACTGCAACAATATTGAGGCTGATTAAAAGCTGTGCAAGCACTCTTACATGCTATAACACTTCCATCAGAGCCAGCTACTTTTAGCTCATTAGGGCACGCCGCGTTAATGTTCGCCGGGCAGCTTGAGGGTTTGCAGTCGCCGGTGCCGCCTTGCGGGGCTATGGACATGGGCAAGTTGAAGCCATCTACATTGCTAACATCATAGAAATCTTGCCCACCATTTGGTGACACAAAGAGTTCTATTAATGTTGCTGGTGGGATTGCTCCGGCGCCATTGCACCCAACTTGACCAGAGGCACAATCCGCCGTGCCACAAACAAACTTTCCTGTGGCATCGGAGGCGCAGCCGGTTCTCGCGAAAAACCGGCCAGACCACGGAGAAGGGACATCTACTGAATTAGATGCTCCGATCGCCAACTCGAATCCGGTTGTGGATAGTTGAGGGTATGGAGCTCCGGTCAAGGTTCCTGGCCATATTGTGAAGGAACAGTTGTTTTTGAAAGTAATTTTTGCTGACTTTCCTCCTGCACAAAACCATTTCTTGTGAATTAATCAACATATATATTACTAGTCATTAAGGAATATAAATATATACACAGACGCTTTCTATAGAATATGCTATATGAGCAGCAAGTTAGCTATATTATGCATAATATGAACTAGAAATTCAAATCCAAACATGAGCAAACTACATCCATGAAGCCACTATGCGTATGAGGATGCATATCAAGCAATCAACTTGACATTTAGCCAATGTTACGAATACAGTATACTAAGAGAGCTAGGGTAGATATATATATATATATCTATACACACACACACACATATTGTGTATGGTACCGTAGAAGAGGAAGGCTAGAGAAAGGCACAGAAAAATTTGAGTATTCATGATGAGACGCATAGTATTTGTCCTGTGTCTCGATGAAAGCAGGTTCAAGTTTGTGCCCGTGTGTGTGTGTGTTTATATGAGCCTTAGTGCTTGATGGACATTTGTTAGAGATAAGTTAACTTGTCCTTATCGTTAGTAAATAAGTTGTTATGGACGTTACGAATATATTTAGGAAATTTGTTAGAGGTAAGTGGCATGAAAAAACTCATTTAGATACTTATCTTTTGATAAGCCATTTAGATACTTATCTGCTAGTGTGTGCATTAGATAAAAACAAATTTAAAGAACTTTTTCTTAATTAAAAACTGATATAAATATAACCTTTAATTGTATTTTTATTTTTTTCAATATGCATGGTTAGCAATCTAACGAAGTAGAAAATTAAAACAAATAATAATATCTATATATATATATATATATCCCCTCCTATAAAAATTGACAAAAGTGAATATCCTGAGAAGGATTTGCGGCATATATTTTGTGTAAATATAGCATTTAAGGTTATAATATTACCTTGAGAAATTTGAAATGAGAGTTTTTGGCACAATTATTAATATGTATAATTTCTTTCTGTTACTTAATACGTGTATCGTTTATGTATTTGATTTCTAACTTAATTATATTGAAATGTATTTGTGATAATATATGAATAGTAACAACTTTTCAATTATAGACTTATTTCAGTTATTTGGTTTCTTTTTTCTTCTTCTTTTTTTTTTTTTCAGTACCTAACCACGGAATGGTTCATGTATCACTTTGTTCTTTTTAAAACCAAAGTGCATGAATCAAGTTCTATTGGGTATAAAGTTGAAGATCCACATTAACAATTTGACACTTTTGTCAAATAGCACCAAAATTAAACTATATTTTGAATTTGCAATATAGCTCAATCCAAAATTGTTTCTTAAAAAGCTAATTATTTAATCACTTAAATTAAGATTTTTAACAAATAAAAGATCACTTAAAAGCACATTAGAAAGGGGACTTTTGGCTAAACTGATTAAAGGAAATTTGACAGAGAAAATCATTAGCAAGATTAAAATAAGTAGGACTCTAGATCGACAACTTCCAATATACGTAAAGTTGTAGGCTCCTCAATTGTTAATGTGATAAGAAAAAACCATATTATCCTAACAAATGCTAATTACATATAACAAATCCTTACTTGTATATTATGGATTCTTACTATTGTATATGACAGATCCTCACTTGCAAGACTAATTGCATATAAAAGATGCTCACTTGCATATAATGGATACCTACTTCCATATAAGTTTATTGTGTAATACGAATGCTAATTGCATTTAACGGATGCCCAATTGCATATAATGAATGCTTATTTGCATATGATGGATCCCTAGTTGCATATGGGCTTATTCACTACAAGAAAATATCAAGTTAGCGGCGGAACATTTCTAGCGGTTCAAACAAACCGCTACAAATTTATGTATTTCTAGCAGTTTTATACAAACCGCTAGAAATTAGCATCGTTTTGACCATAAAGACTTTGGGGCCCGCAATTTTCTAGCGGTTACATGCCAACCGCTAGAAAATCACAGCTAGAACTCTTCCCGGGTTTTGGCGTGAACTTGGAGCCAAAATTCTAGCATTTATTTTCTAGCGATTTGGGTGACCAAACCGCTAGAGAATGCAAAGAGTCGTCCAATTTTCTAGCGGTTCGGTAAACTACTAGTAAATCATACACTTTTCTAGCGGTTTTGTCGAAAACCGCTAGAAAATATTGAGGTGGTTTTAATAACCGTTAGCAGTTTCTAGTGGTTGTCGCAAAAACCGCTAGACATTTCTAGCGGTTTTAGCGACAATTGCTAGAAATTCATTGCAGTTTGGGTAAAACCGCTAGAAATTCGTTGCCTATATATATCCCCCCATGGTCATTTTTACTGTTTTGTTCGTTCGTAAAGTGAAGCTCTGCTGAATTCTCTCCACGAAACATATCCGAGTTCGGATTCAGTTGCAGATCCCTATTTTCAGGTAGAAATAGTAATTTATTTATAAATAATTTATATTATTTTTTTAATTTAATTTATTATATTTCTGTTTATAAATAATTTCTCTTTTTATTTTATTTATAAATAATTACTATTTGTTATTATTAGGATGAGTCGTCGGCCAGGGAAGGTACCAGTCGATCCTAAGAGGGTAGGACCCAGTGAGGATCGTCATGATGGTGGTCATGATGCTAGTGAGCCATTCCCCAGTATTCATGACTACGATCTCAGCGAGGAGGATCTCCTCAGCTTTATGGAGCAGGATGATATCGAGCAGACTAAGGAGGCTCATTTTACTGGGGATGAACAACCCCATGCTGATGCTGATGCTGCTGAGAAGGATGAGGAGGAGGAGCAGGTTCAGGGGAATGAGAATCCCCATGCTGAGCAGTATCTTGCTCCCAGACGTCAGGCTGGTTTTGAGGTGGAATTTGAAGGTAAGTATTTATTTAACTTTTTTAAATTTGACAACTATTTAATTTATATAGAAAATTTTTTAATTCATTGATATATAATTTATTTCTTAATTAAATTTTACAGATTCTGAGGGGAACAGGTCCTATAGGAGGTTGACAGCCAGAAAGTTGTCTATGATGACAAGTGGACAGGTGGTTGTGCCACTCAATGAGCTGAGCCAACTGACGAAGAAAGGTGGCCAGTTGTACAACAAGCACGTGCGCCTCCTAGGTCAGCAGTAGATGCTGTTCCGCATCTACATGCAGAACTGGAGGAAGATCACCTCAGAGAAGAAGCAGCAATGTTAGAAAATGATGAAGGTAATATAAAATTATTATTTATAATTTTTTAATTTAAATAAATGATTATATATTTTGTTTTCAAATTATTTAATTGTTTGATTGTAATTTTTTATTTATTTAATTTATTTGTTATTTATAATATTTTTAAAGTAGTTAAATGAATATACATTTTTTATTTAACTTACTTTATTGTTTAAAATAATTTGTTATTGATTTCATTAATTTATTACTTATAATAATTTTAAATTAGTTGAGTAAAAATATATTTTCATTTAAATTACTTAATTGTTTAATTATGATTTGTTATTGATATAATTTATATTTTATTTATAATATTTTAAAATTAGTTAAATAAATATATATTTTTATTGAAATTGCTTAATTGTTTGTTTATAATTTGTTATTTACTTAATTTATTGTTTTAATCACGAAGTAAATTTATGCTGGGGGAGGAGTTGAGGGTCGACACAATCAAGAGGCTTGGGTGGCATGGAAGAACAGAAGGGCCGACCAGTGGAGGGAGAAGAAAGGTGACGGGACGAGGCCCCTGCAGGAGATACTGGCAGATGTACCTGGTGGAGTTCCGAAGCAAGACTGGTCCAATTACGTCTATTTTAGGATGTCGGCTGACCAGATGGTATGATAATATTGTATTAATTATAATTTCTTTATTTTTTGTCCAATTTGACTAACTTAATTTAATTTTTTTACATTTTGCTTCAGGCTCTTTCCGCGAGAAATGCTGGAAGCGTCAGGCATCAGACGATACGTCATAAGGCTGGACCCAGGAGCTTTGCGATCACCTATGACGAGATTGTGAGTACATTGAATAAATTTGTTAAATATATATATATGTATTTAATTTGTAACTAATTATTTCTTTCATTTCATTTACAGAGGGAAAAGACGCAGCAGGAGCAGGGATACATGCCCACTTATGGCGAGGTGTGGCCAATTTTGTATAGACCTCGAGACAGGCGTGCGTCGGATGAGATTGAGGAGATAGCGGTAAGTAATGAATTAAATATTAATATAATATAACAGTATAAATATCATTTCATACTAATTAGCCTCTTTATATTAATTTTGATAGGCACAGATGACTCAGGTCGATACTGAGCTGCGTGAGTCTCAAGGGTTTGCCTTGGATCCCACCGCCTCATTTTTAGTGGGTCATGGCCGGGTGCAGCACCCTGGCCGAGTTAGCGGCCTCGATCTTGGACCTACACTGACTAGGTTGCTCCGTTCAGGTGGCGCTGGCCCTTCATATACTGCGGGGAGCTTTCGGGCGAGCACGGGAGCGAAGCGGCTGGGTTCCTCATCCTCAGAGGAGTTACGAGAGGAGCTCAGATAAGAGTTGGAGGCTAGCATCGAGGCCAAGATCAAAGAACGTGATCGTCAGTTGCAGGAGCGTGATGCTCAGTTCCAGTTGCAGCTTGACCAGTTCAAGGCAGCTGCTACGGCTATGCGTGATGTGATGATCAGTATGGCTCCAAACATCCTGATTCCTGAGATCCCCTGCCACCAGTCCTGCCCCTGCCCCCTATTAGCCAGTCCATCCCCGGCACGTTCAGCAGCCTGCCCACCCCCAGCAGGAGGATCCAGCGGAGGACGATCACGATGATGCTGCTTCTGCCCCTCACCCCTGATTTCCCCTGTTTTCATTATATAAGATTTTATTTGAATTTTGATTTTATGATTTTATATTCTATTTAGATATTTATTTAAATTTTATGTTTATTTGTTTACTTTAATTATTTATTTCTATAATTTTATTTATGTCAAGTATTAATTAACATTAAAATATTTATTAATTTATTACTATATAAACATTAAAATTTATTAAACATGTTAAACATGTTAATTAATTAAAATATTTCTACAATTTATTTCTATAATTTAAATATTTATATAATTATTTATTAATTTATTAATTAAATTTATTAATTATTTATTTGTATAATTAAAATATTTCTATAATTTATTAATTACTATATAAAACATGTTAAACATATATTCTTTTAACATTAAAATTTATTCTTGAAATATGTATTTTAACATTTAACAAATCATAGAATTTATTAATTTAATAAATATTTATAAATATTAATAATTTGTTAATAATTTTGTTTATATCAAGTATTAATTAATACATTATACTAAAAATGTTAATAATTTATTGCGGAGTATTTAAAATACTTTTGGAATATTTAATTTTTAAAAATATTATATTATTTCTAGCGGT